CGCCGACCAAGCAAACAACCTCCTCTTCTTTCATCTTCAAGTGAAACCTTTTTATATTCTGTGTCTTTCATTATAAAAAGGGTTGCTCAAGAACCCCTCTTCTCTCTCTCTCTCTCTCTCTCTCTCTCTCTCTGTGTCAAGATTCGGTCATACAAAAGCCATACACATTTTTTCTAACCCCATCTTCGAGATCCCTTTTTCTTGTCTTTCATCTGGAAGCTGAAAAAAAACCGATCTTTCTTCAGAAATATTAAGTCCCCACATTAAAGGCTGTCCACATTTTTTTCGGCCATTTCTAGGGTTTATCCTTACTTGTTTTTCGATTTCGTGTCGGGTCGGGTCAGTGTTGGGGGATGCAATCTGGTGTGGTGCATTTTGCTGTGTTCGGTTGAGCAGCTAGGAAGCTTTATATTTACCCTTCTTTTTTCTTTTTCTTTTATTTTTTCTTTTTGTACCTAAAAAAAAAAAACAGATCTTTTGAGCTGGGAAGGATGAAGTTTATGAAGCTTGGATCCAAGCCAGATGCGTTTCAGACTGAGGAGAACAATATCAGGTCAGATCTGTGTTCATCATCTCAAGTGTGGTTTAGTGCTTTTTTCTATCTTTTTTTTGCTTTCGTTGTTTGTTGTTTTTGCTTGCTTTAGTCCTATATTTATACATCTGTCTTCTGTGAAACTTTGCATCTCTTGGCCAGTTAATGTTGTTGTTCAAGTAGTCCCCACCAATTTATCATTGTTTTTTTGCAGAATCTGTAGTAATTACTATCTATATTGGCTTGTGATATTCTTAACAGTTTGTTCCTTGACTTCTCTCAGCAACTGTAGTTCATTGAGCTTTAGTTGATTTGTTGTTACAAGCTTTCTCTGGGTAAAGAAGTCTAGCATTTGAGCTCGGGCATTCGGTTCGTCCCGAAAGAAAGCATATACAGTTGAATTACTGTAAAATGAAGTAAAGATAGCTTAACTTTAATCCATATTCACATTCGGTTGTAGATGGCTTATGTTGAAATCTAAAACGATACCTTAGCTCTGTTATTTCATTTATTGCTTCCTATTATAGATCGTACACTCGTATTTCATTCACTATGGATAGATTTGTTTCTTGCGTTTTTCTGCCCCAAAGCTTTTCCTTTTCCATTTTTTTTTCTTCTGTTCTCAATTAAAAAGAGACTGGAAAACTCATCTCTGCAGATATGTGGCGAGCGAGCTTGCAACTGATGTCATCATTCAGGTTGGGGATATCAAATTTTACTTGCACAAGGTAAGTTTTTTTCTAGTTAATCTTCACAACCTAACAAAAACAATTAAAAGTTCAAATCTTTGAACTCAAAATCGACGAAACTAAAGCCTTACCAATTCAAATAATATTCAAGAAATTTTCCGTTAAAAACACATTATTATATCAAAATTTGCAGTTTCCACTCCTCTCGAAAAGTGCCCGCCTGCAAAAGCTTGTCTCGTCATCTAACGAGGATGATCTCATCATCCTGCAAGACATCCCGGGGGGGCCCGCCGCTTTCGAGATGTGCGCCAAGTTCTGCTACGGGATGGTTATAACCCTCAATGCCTACAATGTGGTCCCCACTCGATGCGCGGCTGAGTACCTCGAAATGCACGAAATGGTCGACAAGGGCAATCTTGTCTATAAAGTTGACGTCTTTTTGAGCTCCAGCATCTACCGGAGCTGGAAAGACTCAATTATCGTTCTCCAGACCACAAAATCCCACTTGCCGTTTTCCAAGGATCTCAAAATCGTCAGCCACTGTATAGACGCTATTGCCAGCAAGGCCTCGACCGATGTCTCGAAGGTCGACTGGTCCTACACTTACAACCGGAAAAAAACGATCGAGGAAAACGGGAACAACGGGCTGAGGACACGGGCTGTGCCGCTCGATTGGTGGGCAGAGGACTTGAGCGAGCTCGAGATCGACTTGTACAAGAAAGTGATCGTGGGTATAAAAGACAAAGGGCTTGTGCCAAATGAGGTAATTGGTGAGGCCCTGAAAGCTTACGCGTACCATAAACTGCCTGCCTCGGGGAAAAATGTGGTCCCGCAAGAAGATCTCCCTAAATTCCGAACAATTTTGGAAAATGTAGTGTGGCTTTTGCCAGCCGAGAAGGGTTGTGTCTCGTGTAGCTTCTTGCTCAAGCTGCTGAAGGCGGCCGTGTCAGCTGAATCGGACGAGAGGGTAAAATTGGAACTCGTGAAAAGAATCGGGCAGCAGCTGGAGGAGGCCTCGGTTAACGACCTCTTGATCCGGGCATGCGAGAGTACGGAACTTATCTACGATGTTGAGATTGTCCGGAAGATTCTGGAGGAGTTTCTGGCACAGGATAGGAATTTCGAAATGGAGATGGAAAATCGAGGCGAGATTCAGGAGATGATGAAGAGGCCCTGGATTTTATCTGAAGCTTCGAAGCTGATGGTGGCTAAGCTTGTGGATGGTTATCTTGCAGAGATTGCAAAAGATCCGAATCTGCCCCTCTCGTTGTTTGTTGGGATCTCGGAGATGGTTTCAGGCTTTTCGCGCCCTACCCACGATGGTCTGTATCGGGCCATTGATACATATCTCAAGGTAAGTAAAACGAACCTCCCCTTTAAAACCTCAGGGTCCTCTCACAAATACCTCAAACCTCAGGGATCATTTTGCAAAATTTAATAAATTTTTTTCTCAGGAGCACCCGGGGATCAGCAAGAGTGAGAGGAAGCGCATTTGCCGACTAATGGACTGCAAGAAGCTATCGGCAGACGCGTGTATGCACGCTGTCCAGAACGAGCGGCTCCCCCTTCGGGTAGTCGTGCAGGTCCTATTTTTCGAGCAGGTCCGGGCTGCCGCCGCCTCGTCCTCCGGCAGCTCGACTCCGGACCTCCCGAAAGCCATTAAAGACCTAAACTGCTGCAACAACTCACACGGAAGCTCGCGCTCGACCACAGCCAACACGGATGAGGATTGGGATGCAGTGGCCTCGGCAGACGAGTTACGAGCCCTCAGAGGCGAGTTGGCGGCCTTGCGTCTGGGCAATAATGGGGTCTCGAGCGAGAAGGATTCGGGCCGGGCTGCCATAGGTAAGGTCAAGGGTTTGATGATGTCGAGGCGGATTTTCTCCAAGATTTGGTCGGGGAAGGGGGCCCACGGGGAGAATAGCGGGTCGGATTCATCTGAAAGTCTCGGGTCGGGCAATAATTACAGTCATAACGTTCAAGATGAGGGGAAGAGCACGTCGTCGAGGAAAGTGAGGCATTCGGTTTCTTGATTTGGAAAGGTTTGTGGAGGGTTTCCACTTTTGGATAGTGTTAGTCTCTTGTGTTTTTTGTTTTTTTTGGGTTAACAGGGTCAAGATTATAGGAGCATTTGAGTCTAGAGGGGGGAAAGCTAATGAATGGTGTGTATTATGCAGGGGACTGATTTGAGTATGTGTTATGGGACAATTTAATTGTTTGGTGTAAAGAGATATCTTTATTGATGTTCTGACCTTTTGTAATGAGAATTGTCTGTGGGTATGAAGAGTTATCCCAGGGAATCAGAAGAGCTTACTGTTAAAAAAATTTTGTTGAAAATGTTTTGTTCATTTGTTTTTCTGTACTTTGTCATTATTAAAAATCTTTATCTTGAATCTTTGTACTTGGTTCTTCTGGTGTTCATGTGAAAAAGTATGTAGTAAAAGGAAAACTAAAAAGAATACTGGTTTTCATTCTGTAATTAGAGAACAACTTGAGGTTTGTATTCACATTAGTCATTACACACTCTTGCGCATGTGATGCATAAGACCAACGTTTCTAGTAACTAATAACTTGTATATACTCGGGATGATTGTTTGTGGATTCAACTAGTTTTGATTTGATTTGTTTTTTTAACTATAGCTAAACTTTTTAAAAATGTAGTATGTAGACATGGCCAGTGTTGACTTGATCGATTATTGATGGGTGGAATTGTTGGTCGTGCATGGCTTTATACAGAGTGTCATGCAGCTTATTTCTTTTAAGTACTTGTAAAAACGTTATTACGTTTTCTATCTTTTCTACCTTTTCTTTTACTTTGCGCACGTGCTAGGTCACACGTGCGAACTTTATGATTGGGTATTAGGTTTTCTCTTCTTTTAGCTGAGCTAAGAGAGCTTTGAGTTGTAACTGAACATTTGTAAGCTTTGAGCTTGTGCATCAATGGCGATTTCAATATTTTGAGTTTTATTTGCGAATCTTTGCATCATATTCGAATTATCTTGATTCTACATGGTATCTAGAGCGGGTTAAGTAAATGGCGCATACCAGTGATTCACAAAGTCGCGAGCTAGTAGGAAGAGGTCCGTACAGCCGCGACATAGATCCGCTTTCCTTACATGGATCGGACCACCCTGGGATGGTCCTCATCACAAATCAGCTAAATGGATCAAACTATCTCCACTGGAGCAGAGCAATGAAGCTTGCACTGAATGCCAAGTCAAAGCTCAGCTTCATCAATGGCACAATACAAATTCCAGATCCAGGATCAGAAGAGCACGATCAATATCAAAAGGTGGAATCTATGGTAATCTCCTGGATCCTTAATTGTATCTCAAAAGAAATCGTAGAAGCTTTTATGTATGTGAAAAGTGCTAAACAACTATGGGAGGAATTAGCTGAGAGATACGGTGAAAATAATGGACCCTTAAGATATCAGTTACAAAAGGAGATTGCCACCTTTTCACAAGGATCTCTATCTGTTACTGCGTATTACACAAAGCTCAAGTGTTTATGGGATGAATTTTCATGTCTTATATCTATACCTGACTGCACATGTGGCACTGGAAAAGCCTTCTATGCTTTGGACATGGAAATGAAGCTCATGCAGTTTCTTATGGGTTTAAATGAAGTGTTTAAGCCAGTAAAAAATCAAATCCTATTGCTAGATCCACTGCCAACCATAAATAGGGCATACTCCATGATATTGAAGGTGGAAAAGCAGAAAGGTTTTACTTCAGGAATGAACTTGTTTGAGAATACTGCCATGTTGGTGAAAAGTAGTTTTGGTAGAGGTGCAGGGAGAGGACAGAATTTTGGCCGTGGTAATGGAGGAAGGAATTTTTCTGGACAACAGAATAACTACATGAAGAAAACAAAATCAGGACAAAGATTATCAAAGGAGGAGAGAGCAAAATTATTTTGTACCCATTGTGGATATAATGGTCATGAGGTCCAAGGATGCTTCAAACTAAATGGCTACCCTGAGTGGTTTAAGGAGTTGAGGGAAAAGAGGCAGAATCAAGTTGCTAACATGGCAGAGAGTGATGAATCCTCAAAGGGTGACTCAGAAACAAAGTCTCAACAAAGTGAATTATCAACAGATATTGGGCTTCTCATACAAAGAGAGGCAGCTAAATACATGTCAAGCCAACATAACTCAGAAGCTCACACTTTCTCTCACTTTGCTGAGCTAACTGATGAGGGTGAGGATTATGCATTCTCCATAACTAGCAAACTTGCCAAAGGAAGCTGGATTATTGACACAGGTGCCAGCAAACACATCTGTTGTGATGGTGACCTTGCATACAAGAAGTCATTGGTAACAAATCCTATCATGGTGAATCTCCCAGATGGCTCAAGGGTAAAAGTGACTCAAGTGGGTGAGGTGAACTTTGACAATAAAATAATTCTCAAGGATGTGTTGTTGATACCAGAGTTCAAATATAACTTACTTTCAGTGGGACAGCTGGTTGAAAACAATGGTCTCAGTTTCTCCTTTACAAATAAGGAGTGCAAATTGCAGAATATGAAAAATAATCAAACAATTGCAGTTGGTAAAGCATTGGGAGGTCTGTATGTTATAGAGGGCAATGGGCTATATGCTAACTCAGCTAGAGGAGAGGTTTCTGTGAATGATGAGCTGAAACTATGGCATAACAGGCTTGGACATAGCTCAGTTAACTGTTTGAAGCACTTGAGGTTCATCAAGGGAGAAGTTACAAAGGAGGATTTGGGAATCTGTGAGGTTTGCCACAAGTCAAAACAACCAAGGCTGCCTTTCCCTCTCAGCCATATACAAAGCAAAGGAAGACTTGAACTCATACATGTGGATGTGTGGGGTCCACACCATGAAGAATCAATTATGAACACCTCCTACATGCTCACAATAGTAGATGACTTCACTAGAGCAACTTGGATTTATCTCATGAAATATAAATCTGAAACATTCATCTGTCTGAAGTCATTTTTTAAATTGGTGGAAGTCCAATTCAATCTGAAAATAAAGAAGATCAGAACAGATAATGGGAGTGAGTTTGTCAACAAAGAGATGGAGAATTTTCTGAGGGAAAATGGTGTCATTCATCAGAAAACATGCCCTTATACCCCACAACAGAATGGGTTTGTGGAAAGGAAGCATAGGTCCATCCTTGAAGTGGCAAGATCTCTTTCTTTCCAAGCCAACCTGCCCAAATACCTTTGGCCTTACAGTCTATTGGCTGCAGTGCAAATTATCAACACACTGCCAAGTGAGAAGCTAGGTTGGAAATGTCCCTATGAGTTATTGCATGCAGCCACACCTTCTTATGAGCTGTTCAGAACTTTTGGGTGTTTATGTTTTGCAAGCAAGCAAGATCCACATAGGAGGAAGTTTGACCAAAGAGCTGTGGCATGTGCATTCTTAGGTTATGTGACAGGAACAAAAGGATATAGAGTTTATGACCTGGAAACTAAGAATGTCTTCATCACAAGGGATGTTGTGTTTTATGAAGAAAAATTTCCCTTTGTCAAGGAAGAAACTGTTGAGAGTCAATCTAAGCCTGAAAACACAACACCAGTGATCACTGAGGATGATGCAGCCACTTTTGAAGATCTTGCTGACATAAGCACTCAGCAGCAAGTTTCTCATCATTCCCCAGTCAATGCATGTAGAAGAAGTGACAGGATAAGAAAGCAACCATCTTGGATGTCAGATTATATAATTGGAACACCAGAGAGAGATGAAGTTGAGGTTGACACTTTCTTCTCCACTTTAGGAGAGACAGTGGGGGAGCCAACCTTTTATGAGCAGGCAATAAGAGATAAAAAATGGGTAGCTGCTATGGAAAAGGAATTAGCAGCTTTGGAGTCAAATCAAACTTGGATCCTTACCAAATTGCCTCAAGGGAAAAAGGCAATAGGATCTAAATGGGTTTATAAAGTCAAAAGGAACCCAGATGGGACAATAGACAAGTTCAAAGCCAGGTTAGTTGCAAAGGGCTACTTGCAAAGGGATGGAGTGGATTTTTTTGACAGTTTTTCTACAGTGGCTAAATTGGTTTCAGTCAGGTTGCTCATTGCTTTGGCAGTTCAAAACAGTTGGGAGCTACACCACATTGATATTAATAATGCATTTCTGCATGGCTACTTAGATGAAGAAGTATACATGCTTCCCCCAAAAGGCTATACAAAAGCAAAACAAGGTGAGGTTTGTCTTCTTAAGAGAAGCCTGTATGGGCTCAAGCAAGCTAGCAGGCAGTGGAACATTGAGTTCTCTGAAAAGCTACTTTCTTATGGATTTGTGCAGTCTTCACATGACCATTGTCTGTTTTTCAAACATACAGATAAGCAAATCCTTGCTCTCCTCATTTATGTAGATGATGTGTTAATCACAGGGAATTGTTTAACTGAGGTACAGCATCTCAAGAAATATCTGGATAGTTTGTTCACCATTAAAGATCTTGGGAAGGCTAAATATTTTTTGGGCCTTAAAATTTTTAGAACACCAGAAGGAGCTTATCTTAGCCAGAGAAAATATATTCTTGACTTGGTTCATGATCTGGGTTTGGAAAATTCAAAATGTACAGTGACTCCTCTACCTCAGGGAACTAACTTGTCATCTACTCAATCAAATGCCTTTGAAAATCCAGAAATGTACAGAAAACTCATTGGGAGGCTTCTTTATTTGAATCTATCTCGAGCTGACATTTCTTATGCAGTCCAACATTTAAGTCAGTTTGTTCATTCACCAAATCAGGCCCATTGGAATGCTGCATTACATCTTCTTCGTTATTTAAAGGGCACCCCTGCCCTTGGACTCTATTATGCAGCTGTATCTTCATCTCAACTTGAAGCCTTTTGTGATGCCGATTGGGGAAGTTGCGTCACTACAAGGAAATCACTGACTGGTTATTGTATTTTCTTAGGGCAGTCCTTGATATCTTGGAAAACAAAGAAGCAAAAAACTGTCTCGCGTTCATCGGCCGAAGCTGAATACAGATCGATGGCAAGTACAGTTTGTGAATTGCAATGGCTGCTTTACTTGACTCGGGATCTT